TCCAGGCCCCAGGGTTAGGACATTGACCAGGGATTGAGAAATGACCAGGAAATTCCTCCCCGATGTAGTGTTTTTCAGGCACTACTGAGATTTCTGTTCCCCGGACACAATTCACTCCTTCCAGAAGGCTGGGGAAGGAGGTGACCAGGCTAGAGAAAGAATACCAGTCCCAGAGCCTGTCCTAGGGTGCAAGCCCGTCGACCCGGCCGAGTCTTGGGGAGAGGGATTCCAGGGAGGAGGGCCCTGGTGCCCAGCAGTCTGTCAGGGACAGGCCTCAGGACCTCCAAGAGCATCAAAGGGGAGTGCCCTCCCACCCTCTTGCTTCTGGCTCCAGCAATCCCAAGCCCCAGGCCAAGCTCCAGAGACCTTGACTTCCAGGAATAATATTTTCGCCAGGAACAGAAGTTCAGGACTCCAAGATCACTGTCACGTCCATCTCCCCCACACCTCCCCAAACACACCCCCAGCCACCACCCTCGGGCCCGTGTGCTCAGCCCACATGTCCCAGCTGCCGACACAGCGGTCACCAGCCCCGGGTCCACCGAGTCAATGGCTTCCCATGCAGCCTCCCCACCCAGAAGGGCCAGAGCCCCTCTCAGACACCCCTTATTTTTGAGGGAGGCAGTTTAAATGGAGAGATTACAAACTCAGGGGCTCACTCATTTGACTCGAGTTCCTCTCCCCATTCCACCACCTCTTTGCGACGTGATGACCAGGGTGGGAACAAGAAGCCGGTGTGCCTCGGTTTCCTCATCTGTACAATGGGGTGACCCCAGCTTCATGGGCCAGGCGGCCAACCATGGCCAGTGGCCCATGCCAGAGCCCTCTTTGTGACAAGGAGTGCGCGTGCGCACATGTATCATGTCCGAGTCCAGGAGGGATGCTCCGGATCCCAAGGGCTGGACATGGGGTAGCTGCAGACTTCCCCTCTCTATACCCAGGCCCCTCGGTGACCACAACTGCCTTACTCCTTTCCCCCTCTCCCTATCACCCATGAGCACAGCATCCCCAGCTTCCGGCCTCAGCTCCAGCCATACCAGGGGCTCGGAGAGGTGCCTGGGTGCATGGGCCTCAGGCCTCCTGGCTCTGCGGTTCCCCCCACCGCCCTGTGCTCTGCAATCCCCAGGCAGACCAGAAGGAACTCAGGAAGTTATATCATATTAATGAGGGATGATGCCTGGCGGGCTTACGTCCTGTGGCAGGATCAGGGGAGTTGGGGGGCGGGGCGGGGTAGCTCTGGTTCCTGGAGCCTCCCTCCCCCTGGCTTCCTGTCCCCACCAGGGACCACTGAGCATTCAGGAAGTCCACTCTGCTCCCAGGCCCAGTGTGGCCTGGCCTCATGCACCCTGCCCCCCCTCCAGGCCTCAGTTTACCCCCCTGTGCCACTGGGGGCCGGGAGCCCTTGCAACCCTGGCATCCCGTTGTATGCGTCGGGGCAGGCGGGGGTGGCCGCGACTGTAACGAGAGGTCCCTGGGGCTGGTGTCAGTGCTGGACCCCCTCCACTCACTTTCCGGGAACCCTGGCATCCTGCCAGCTGTGGCCACGCCCACAGCTGGAGCCACAAAGGGGTCCTCTTCTCTCAGGTGCCTTGGAGTGAGAGGCCACCCCAGCTGGGCTATGAGGGGGTGGCTTCCGGGGCTGGGGGTGGGGGAACTGTGGGAAGGAACAGCTCGAGAGACGAGTCAGCCTCCCTCCCCTCCCACCGCTTGAACAGGACTCAGGCATCCCCAGAAGGACCATGGACAGGGGCAGAGGAGGGCGGACAGCCCCAGAGACAATGGGGAGTGGCCAGCACCATACCAGGGCAGGGGGCGTGCAAGGGGCTGTCGCGGACACGTGAACTTCAGGCGTGGGTCTGTGTGATATTAGCGGGGCCTGTGGAACTGAAGTGAGCATTTTTTAAAATGTATTTACTTATGGGGCGGGGAGCAGAGGGAGAAGGACAAGCAGACTCCCCGCTGGGTGTGGAACCCAACGTGGGGCTCAATCCCACGACCCCCGAGATCATGACCCGAGCAGAAACCAAGAGTCAGACGCCCAGCTGACTGAGCCACCCAGGCGCCCCCTACAGGAGCATTTTAACCGCACCGTGAGTGCGTGTGCTTGTGTGCACCATGGCGGTGGGTGGGCGTGATTTTTCTCGACAGCCTATTTGTACATCTGTGTCCCTTCACGCACCTCGTTGTGGGTCTGCGCATGTGTGTTTATTGTGGACCCCTGTGGTGCTTTATGGCTGTGTCTCCGTGTGTGTGTGTGTGTGTGTGTGTTTGCTTGCGGAGGGGCTGCCTGGCGCAGGGGGAAGAGAGTGGCTTTGGAAGCGCCCCTCCACCCCTCACCAGTCACTTGATGTGTGACCCTGGAAAATGACTTCCCCTGGCTCAGCCTTGATGTTCTTCCTCACATGGCTGCCTTGCCCTTGTTGGGGTGTGGTGTGAAGATTAGAGACCGGGTTCCCCCTGCCTGCCTCCAGGAAGCCCTCAAACAGCTGCTGGCGTTGTTATTATTCATTCAACAAACTGTCACCCACTTACTGGGGGCCGAGGGAGGGGGACGCAGCGGGGCTGGAGGGGGACCATCCGACGGATGCATGTTCCCAAGTGGCGGGGAAGGTCAGAAGGGGAGCCTGGGCACGCAGGTCCTCCGCTGAGTCATCCGCAGCCCTGGGTCTCTCCCACACCTGCTTGCGGACCAGTGCCTCCAGCTGCCTGCCCATGCCTGCATCCGGACCTGCCCCCGAGCTAAGACCCTGCTTGCCCGGGGCCTGACCTTCTCCCGACTCCCTGGTGTCCTGGCCCTGCCCTGCCTGGGAAGAGGTTGGCCCCACACGCACACGCACAGACATGCACGTGCACGCGCACCCCATCAGCTGCTCACACCTGCCAAGCCTACCTGTCCACCTGTGCCCTCCCGTGGCTGCAAGAAGTTGCTGCGGGTCCATCCTGACCTGTCCCTCATTGGCAGGTGCCAACGCTTTCAGACACAGGCCATTTGTCTCTGCCCACCACCCTTTCCTGCACCCCAAATGGGCCCTTGCCTACCTACCAGTCTCTTCTTCTCGTTCCTGCTCCAGGGGGCTCTCCTCCTGCCACCCCTGCCCTGCCTTTGCCTGGGCCCGGCCCCTCCCCTGGGATACCCCCGTTCTGTCCTTCAAGCCCCCCACAACACCTCCAGCCCCTCCTGAACCCTCACCCATTGGTGCCCACTCCAACCTCAAGCCCCAACTGGCCAGGTGATGTCACTTCGCTGTGCCTGACTCCATGTCTATAAAATGGGGATAAACAGAGTCCTTTGGGGGGTCATCGGAGAATTAAGTGAGGTGGGGCTTCAGAAATGGGATTCCAATATGTGATGGTCATAGCTGTGGCTCAGGGCCACTCCTCCCCCAAATCCCCTCAGCAGAGCCAAGCACCGCTCAGAGCATGTGGGGTGCAAAGGGCAGACAGCCTGGGAGGGGCAGCCTGGGGCCCCTCAGGGTCTGGGGTGAAGTGGAAGGGGACTGCTGGCAGCAGGCACTTCCCCAGGTGGTCCCCTCTGCCTCTTGGCCTGGCTCTGACCCCAGGGCTGACCTCACGCGAGGCTGGCCGGAAAGAGCAGAACAGCGGGTAACCAGAAGCTGTTACTACAGAGTCATACCCGCTAACAAGATTACCCAGGTTTGCATGCGTGGATGCTGCTCACCCAGGACCTGCTCACCCTGTCTAGCTCATCTGTCTGGCACCCTCCGCACCCCCAGCCTCCCTCCCACACCTCCTCCAGGTAGACCTCCTTCCTGCCCGCCCTCCCCTCCCCACACTGGGTCAGCCAGCCCCCTTGCTTCTCCTGACTTCCATTCCCCAAGACCAGGAATGTGAAGGAGGGAGGATCCACACTACACAGCCCCAAGATTTCGGGGCTAAAAGGGTCTAAATCCCAACAGTCGAGCCTCAAGGAATCCTTACACTCCTGCAGTGCAGAGCTCTGGGTCCTAGCTGGACAAAGGAACAGGAGTCTAGCCCCACAGGGTCGAAAGACTCCAGAATTCCAGCCCTCTGAGGTCCTGCGATTCTAGAGTCCTCTGCATTTCAGGTTCTAACATGCAAGGATGCTGGGTCTGAGAAATTCCAGAATCCTCTGGCAACTTCCCTCCCAGCATCCCTCCTCCCCAGCCCCACCCCCCCCAGCTCATCCTTGGCTCTGTCTGTCCCCGGTGTCCCCAGGGGCTCCCACAGACATGATGCAACTAGGCTGGAGCCAGCTGAGAGGGGTGGGAGGCAGGAGGGAGATGTAATTACAGCTCGTCCTGCCTCAACCCAACAGGAAGCTCAGAGTTGGGGCCCAGGGGACCCTAATCCAATGTGAATAATGGAGCACTCACCAGAAACACACATGGCCCGGTGAGCCGGCTCCATCCAGATCCAGGGGTCCAGCCCCCGTTGCCCCAAGCTGGGGAGCACAGGTGTTAGTCGGGAGAAAAGAGGAAGTGGGGGTGAGGGGACTGGAGAGGGGTCTCTAACTCTGTGGCCCTCCAGCCAACCTGGTAAAATGATTGACCAAACCCACAGCTCACCCAATCTGCATCTCATTTTCTTTTAAGATTTTTTTTTTCTTAAAGATTTTATTTATTTATTTGAGAGAGAGAGAAAGCATGAGGTGGGGAGGGTCAGAGGGAGAAGCAAACTCCTCGCTGAGCAAGGAGCCCGATGCGGGACTTGATCCCGGGACTCCAGGATCATGACCTGAGCCCAAGGCAGTCGCTTAACCAACTGAGCCACCCAGGCGCCCTCTTTTAAGATTTTTTATGTGTTTATTTGAGAGAGAAAGAGAGAGAGCACAAGCAGGGGGAGCGGCAGGCAGAGGGAGAAGCAGGCTCCCCACTGAGCAGGGAGCCCGACGTGGGACTCGATCCCAGGACCCCAGGATCATGACCTGAGCTGAAGGCAGATGCCCAAGCGACTGAGCTACCCAGGCGTCCCCTGCATCTCATTTTCAACAGACATTCAAGACATAACACGTTCCACTAGAAGAAGCCCCTGATAAATAACACCTGGCACTCAGCCTTCTTAAGCAGGAGACATTAGGGCATGGTGGAGACTTTGGTGAGCTGGAAAGCCCAGATCCCACCTCCCAGCCTAGGGTCAACCTGAGGGGTATATGGGTCTGAGGTCACCCGAACATCCAATTTGGGAGAAGCTGGAAATAAGGACTTTTAAGTGAAAGACTCCTATTTTTCAATTTGGCAACCAAGTCAAAAACATTTTTAAACATTATGTAGGCCAAAAGTAGAGAACCCAAAATAAGTGAATAAATAAAAGACGACATAACATAAATGGAACTGCAGGCTATAAATGTCCTGTGGGCCAGCCATGTGTGAAGTGGGAAACACAGGGCAGGAGCCAGAGCTGTTAGTCACCCCTGTGTCCCCGGAACAAAGAAATAACTGTTGAAGGAAAGAGTGGTACACATTAAATTGTCTCCTCTCCCTCTAGCCACATTTCTCTCTCCTCCTGGTCCCCAAGTTTTATTACCACCCTGTCTCAGCTCAGATGTCCCCTCCTCCAGGAAGCCTTCCCTGATCCCTAAGCTGAGTCAAGTATACCCTCTGGGCTCCCCCACCCCAGCCCTGCCCACTCTGGGTCATCATTTTCTGGGGACAGGTCTGTTTCTCCCACTGGATTCTGAGCCCCAAGAGGGCAAGGCCAGGGCTGTCTCAGTCACAACCATGTTCCCAGCTTCACCCAGCGCGGGGCTGGTCACAGAGCAGGTACCACAGGAATGAATGAACAACAGAGATCAGTGCTAAGGACAGAGGTGAGGTAAGCTTGTGGCAGGGGGTGGAATCATCCAGGGGGTGAGGAAGGTGCAATGGGCACAGGGGCTCCTAAAAATCTACAACCCAAGAGAGGAGAGAGGCCAGCTCAGGGGTTCGGGGGTTCGGCACTGGAGGCCACAGTCTTCACCTCATTACCTCCTAGCTGTGTGACTTGGAGTAAGGGACCTCCTTTGGCTCAGTTTCCTCATCTGCAAAATGGATACTCTACAATCAGCCAGCTGCCTTCTGGGGCTCTTGGAACGATTAAATAAATTCAGGATCATGGAGTGCTCAGTGGAGGTCAGAGCCCAGACTGCTCATTTCCTCCTGCACAAGCCTCTGCATCCACACACCACGCCCCACACACCCCGCACATCCTCACCCCCCAACACACTCCACACATACTCAGAAGGGATGAGAAGGGACACAGGTTCCCCCATGATGGCCCCAAGCCCTGGGCGTGCCTCAGTTTCCCCAAAAGCACAGGTACCACCACAATCACCACGTTTATTGGATCCATACTTTGGCAGGGGAGGGCAAGCGGTCGGGAAGACTCAGAGCAGGACGCAAAAGAGCCGCTTGTCGCGGAAGGGGTTCTCTGCGGCGGGTACCGGCGTCACCAGCGGGTCGTCTTTGGCGTGCGTCTCGCAGAAGGCCAGGAGCTCGGCCGCCGCCTGCGACACCTGCGGGCGCCCGCGTGATGACCATCCTCCGCCCAAGGCCCCGCCTCTTGCCCGGGCCCGCCCCCAGCCCCTCCCCGGACCCGGCCCGCCCCCTTGTGACCACGCCCCCTGTCCGAGCCCCTCCCCCGGGTTCGGCCCCGTTCCGAAGGGAATCTTCCCCCGGGCTCCACCCCCAACAGCGCCAGGTCCAGACCCCAGCCCCAGAGCCCCCGCCTTCCTCCCTACCCGCACCCCGCACCTTCATGCGGTCGATGTTCACCTCCAGCTTCAGCTGTTCCACCGTCTTGCGGGCCTCCGCGATCTTGGCCATGTTGTTGGACATGGCTGAGGGCGGGGAAGAGTTTAAAAGCCGGGCGGGAGTGGGGGGCCGAGAGGGTTGGGCTAGGGCAAGTCTGGGTCCCCAGGTAAGGGTGGCAGTGGTCGTGGGACCCGGCGACAGGGTTGTGGATGGAAGAGCGTACGAAGGGGGTGCCCAGAGGTGGAGGGAGGGACAGGAAAACAGAAAAAAGGAGGAACGAAGAGACGTACAGATGGGGGACCAAGAGGCAGGCCAAAGGAGGGACAGAGGAACAGGGAGGAGAGGGGCAAGGGGAGATGGTGGAGGGGTGCCTAGGATGGGGGACCTAGAGGCAGGTGGAGGGGGGACCAAAGAACAGGGCCACAGGTGCTGGATCAGGATCCAGGTGTCCTCAGCCCCCGGGGATAGAGCAGGAGCCAGGAGGGGGGCCCTCCCCAGGCCAATTAGCGGTGACTCCGGGGAGAACAAGGAATTAAGATCGCGGCGGGAAAGGCGCAGAGGGGGCCTCATTAGGGCCTTGGCAGCAGCTGCCCCCTCCAGCCCCCTTGGGGAGCTCCCCCACCCCAGCCCTGGCCACCTCAAAGGCTCCTCTGCTCATTAGCGGCCAGAGAGAGGGCTGGGGCGGGGGGCGGGTAACCCAGGCACAACTGGGAGAGGGGCAGAGAGGATGGAAGGACAAATGGAGGGGCAGAGGGAGTGACAAAGTGACAGAGGGAAAGACTGAGGCCCGGAAGAAATAAAGAGACTGGGGCGGGGGAGAGAGAGATGGAGGGATGAAACAAGGGAAGGAGTAGAGGGAGGGGAGGACAGATAGAGGGACAGAGTGATCCAGGGGGACAGAGGCACAGAAGGGACAAAGGGACAGAGCGGGGACTGGGAAGGTGAGGGGGACTGGGAAGGGGAGTGAGGGAGTGGGAAAGGAGAGAGAGAGGCACAAAGGAAGGGGCAGAGAGAGGCACAGCGGGGATAAAGGGACAGAGGAGAGAAGGGACAGGGGGACAGAGAGAGGGAGCCACTGGAGGGGCTGGGGGAGAGACAGGCTGATGGAGACGCAGAAGTAGAAAGTCATTCATTCGCCCATTCATTCATTCATTCATTCATTCCCAGGCGGACAGACCGCGGCTGTGGGGTGGAGACCCGAGCCCCCTACCTGTTGCTGCTCCGGGCTGGGATGGCGGGCAGGTGGCGGAGGCTGGGAGACCGCGTCTGGGTCCCCCGCCGCCAGTCCCGCCCCGCCCCCTCCCCCGGGGCGCAGCCCCTGAGGGCCGCCTCCTCCTGCTGCCACCGCGGCCGGCCCCTGCGCCCTGGCCGCCTTGGGTCTGTCTCTGTGGGTCCCCTGTCTCTGTCCGTCCCCTTCTTTGTCTTTCTGTTTCTGTGTCTCTGTCGCTCCTGTTCTGTGTCTCTTGTCCTCCCCCTTTCTCTCTCCCAGTCTCCCCTCTCAGTCTCTGCCCCTGCCTCTGTCTCTGTCCCTCTGAAACACACACACACGCACACACACACGCACACACACACGCACACACACGCAGGAAGGCTCTCCTGGCGTGCCCCACACCCCGCCCTTACCCCACGGTCGCACAGATCTCTCCTGTGAGTCCCGCACAGCCTGTCACTCCATCACACGTGCTCTCCCACCTGTCACACCTGCCCCTGTTTCACCCCACCCCAGCCCCTCACACAGAGGTGCACACTACCTCACCGTCTCACGACCATCCGGCGCGCTGAACACACAGCCGCGGGACCCCTCAAAACGCCACACACGGTCCCTCACAATCTCTCAGAGGGTGGCACATCATCGCCAATGCCACCTCGCACAAGCACAGATATCCTATCGCAGAGTGTCCCGTGTGCAGAGTTTCACCCAGTGTCACACGCAATCTCTCAAGACGTCCCTCACACACATTCACGTGCAGCTGAAACTTCTGTCTCGCCCCCGACAGCAACTTCACCCACACTTTGTCAGGGTCTCACACGGTGACATGGAGTTACTCACACGACGTCTTAGTTGAGCGTTGTCACACGACATTCCATGGGGTCACACATCCAGTGACCCCCACATACAGTCATACTCGCTCTTGCACGGTCTCCCGGTGTCACACACAGCCTTACACAGTCCCTCACAGACTGTCCCCCCCACACGCTGTCATGCACACAAGCTCCTGCTGAGCTTCGCGCAGTGCACGCCGCACACAGCCGTCCCCGCCCTCACGCCGCAGTCTCTAGTGGCGCACGTGCTTACGGGCACAAGACCTCGCTCATCCTCTCATCTCCGAGTGCCCCGCACAGTGACACGCGCCCTCACGCGCTGTCACGACACCGTGACAGTCTCTCACTATCCCACACGATCTGATCGGTGTCACACAGAGTCACACAGTTTCTCACAGTCCGTCAGTGTGGCTGATATACACTGTCACACTCACATGGTCCCTCTGTCACCCCCATTCCCCGCGGGGCCTGTCACAACGCCTTCTCACGCCACCTGAGTGCGTCCCACTCATCTGGTCTCACCCTCTGTCACACATCGTCTGCCCGTGTGACACGCACAGCGCTCGCGTCCGCCCCATGTTGCACACTGTGCCACACAATCTCTCGCTCTCACATAGTCTCTTGATGTCACAACCAGTCCCCCGAATAGTGTCTCAGGCACACCCAACCTCACGGGGTCCCACGCAGTCACCTGCATGTCATCTCTCATCCCACAACACAGTCGCACACAACCTCTCCGTGTAACACATGGTTTCACAGTCACACCCTGTGTCTGGTGGTCACAAAATCTCACAGCCACACACCAACCCCTGGCGTCACGCGCAATCTCACGGTAGTACGCGCTCACACAGCCTGTTGGCGTCACACGCCATTCCCCGGTGTCACCCAGGGGCAGCCACGGTGTCTCTCCCGCCCTCGGCACGCCCCGGCGGGCGCCCATACTCAGCCCTCGGGCCTCTCGCGACAGCCCCCTGATGGCCACACGGGGGCGCCCGCGGCCCGCCGAAGCCGTAGGCGGAGGTGGAAATTGGGAGGGCAAGGCGCCCGGGTGGGCGGGCGGGGGGTGCAGACCCGGGAGGGAGACCCGGACACAGAAGGTGGAGGGGGCTGGAGGCCAGAGGGAGAGAACTGAAGATGGACTGGGACAAGAGAAATTCAAAGAGGCGGGGAGAGAGATGCAGAGAGATGCAGAGTGGCAGAGAGAGAGGCAGAGACAGAAATTTGGGGAGATAGAGACCTAGGGACTAGGTGCAACAGAGACAGGCAGAGGGCTGCAGAGACAGAGACATGCAGGGTTTAGGAGAGACAGACACACAGACAGAAATGTAGAGAGTCAGAGACAGGGACCGAGAAACGCAGACACCCAGAGACACAGAAGCGAACAGACAGACGAACTCGCACAGCGAGCGGCCCACAGGGGATGGTGGCGGAGGCGGGGCCTGCAGGGCGCGCCCCAGGGGCGTGGCCCGGGGCGGCCTAAGGGGCGGGGTTAGGGGCGGGGTTCCGAAGGGGCACGTCCCGGGGCGGACCATTAGGGGCGTGGGCTGGCGGAGTCGTGCCCGGAGGGGCTGGTGTTGGGGAGAGGCGGAGGTCCTGGAAGGAGCGTCTCCGCCAGTCAGCCCACCCCAATCCGGTTTTTACCGACTGGATGGGGAAGCGAGACCGGCCGGGAGGGGACACCGGCCCAGGTGCCTGGTAGCGATTTCATAGGAGGGTTTCGGACCCTGACTCCCCCCGCCCCAACCCCGCAGGAGCAACGGGGCCAGGTGGGGGAGGGGAACCGGGCTCACATCTGGAAAGCATCAGGCGCGCCGGACGTGCCAGGGCCCCGGGCCCGGCTGCGGAAGGGGGGAGGGGAGCTAGGGCGCCCTCGTCCTCCCCCTTAGCGGGGTCTGCCGGCGCCGGGGAGGGGCCTGGGCTTGCGCCGAGCCTCCGCGCCTCCCGCAGCTGGTTTCCATCAGCGGTCTTGGCCCGGGCCGCCCCTAAGGAGGAAACCCAGCTTAGAGTGGGGGAAGACAGGGTGGCGACCCAGTCTCCTATCCCCCCTCCCTGACGGCAGCCAGACGCTGGGGGGCGGGGGAGACGGACTGACCGACGCTGCTTGAACCGTACATAACCTCCAGTTCTCGCCGGAGCTGCAGACCTCAGCCGTCTTAACACCCGACGCATAAGTTTAGTTTCCAGGTATGCAATGCTGTCCTGTGCTGCAAAGGAATCGCCCCAGCCTCGTGACAGCCTAGGAGCCAGTGGTATTATTGTGCCCATTTTTTGGAGGGGGAAACTGAGACCCTGGATTCGGCTTCAGTTCTGGCTTTAATTATTCAGGAAATGTGCAATGAACGCCAACAGTAACTCTAGGGTCGAATACCCCATCGCCTATTGTATGTTCCCAGCTGGACGTCTGCTGGGTATCCCACTCAACCGTCCAACACTGAGCTCTGGATTCCACCGGCCAAACCCTCTCCTAATGCAGTCTCAACCATCTGATAGTAACTCTTTGGGGTCATTCTTGATTTCCCTCCCTCTCTCTCACCTCACAACTGATCTTAGTAACAAATGCCATTAACTCCGGCTTCCGGCTGTCCCCAGTGTGCAGTCACTTCTCATCTCCTCTGCCGCCCACACTCCGGCCCAGCCACCATTCCTCACTGGCTTCCCTCATTCTGGTCCCCAGAGAGCAGCCAGAAAGGACCCTGTTTGAGACGAAGTCCCCAGATAATAGCAAATGTTAGCGAGGGGGTGGCGAAATTGGAACCCTCACACACTGGTGGTGGGAAGTAAAATGTTCCAGCCACCATAGATAACAGTATGGCCATTCTTCAAAAGGTTAAGGTCACCACATGACCCAGCAATTCCACTCCTAGGTATCTACCTAAGAAAACCCCCGAAAACACCCATCCACACAAAAATTTGTACGTGAACGTTCATAGCAGCATGATTCATAATAGCCCCCAAGTGGAAATGACCCAAATATCAACTGATGAGTGAAAAACTGTGGTCTGTCCAGACCGTGGGATATCATTTGTCAATAAAAAGAACCAGAGTACTTTCACATGCTGCCATGGACTGAACTTTGAAAACATCAGGCTGAGTGAAAGAAGTCGGTCCCAAAAGGCCACATGTTGCATAATTCCACTGACATGAAATGTCCAGAATAGGCCAATATATAGGGACAGAGAGTGAGTCAGATTAGGAGTTTCCAGGGGCGGGGGATAGTGGAGGATGACAGCTAAGGGTGCAAAATTTCTTACTGGGATGGATATTCTTAAACTGGTTATGCGGATAGTGACACAACTCTGTGAATATACTAAACGCCACTGAACTCTGTACTTATAGGGGTGAATTTTATGGTAGGTGAATTATATCTCAATAGAGCTGTTAATCCTTTCACTTCCCTTCTGCCCCCCCAAAAACCCAAGTCCCTCTTGTGCTCAGAATTCTCCCATGGCTCCCACCTCCCTCAAAGTAAAAACCAAAATCGTCATTAAGGCCCATGATGCCCCACGCAATGTAGTGGGCCCTACCATTCTCTGCCCCCCCACCCTGGCTACTCCCACCACTGTTGTCCATCCTGCCAAGACATTCACAAGCCTCACTCCCCCACCTCCTTCAGATCTCTGTTCAAATGTCACCTTCTCAACTAGACCATCCTGATCACTCTACTTAAAATCACAAACTCCTGGGCGCCTGGGTGGCTCAGTTGTTAAGCATCTGCCTTCGGCTCAGGTCATGATCCTGGGGTCCTGGGATCGAGCCCCACATCGGGCTACCTGCTCATTGGGAAGCCTGCTTCTCCCTCTCCCACTCCCCCGGCTTGTGTTCCCTCTCTCACTGTCTCTCTCTCTCTGTCAGATAAATAAAATCTTAAAAAAAAAAAAAAATCACAAACTCCTCTGCTCCCCCATCCCACCGAATTCCCTCATATCTCTGCTCAGTTTTTCCCCCATAGGCCCTATCACCTTTAACAGATTATAGAATTTATTTACTTATTATGTCAACACCCTTGCCCCACTCCCTGCTCCCACCCCTGTAAGCAGTTCCTTTTGCACTCTTCTAGAAATAATCCATATAGCAAATAGGCTATGTAGGGCAGTGCTTAAGAGCATGGACTCTTAGGCAGCCTGAACTTAAATCTGGCTTTGCTGCTTATTAACTTACTCCAGGCAAGTTACTTAACATCTGTGCCTCAGTTTCTCCATCTGTAAAATGGGCATAACAGTATCTATATATCTATCTAATAGGCTCTTGAGTTCTGAGCATTAAATGAGTCACCGAGAAGAGAGTCTGGCATGCAATAAAGGCTCAATTTATTGTTAGCTGTTGTTTTTTTTATTTTTTTGTTTTTTTAAGTAGGCTTCACACCCAATATAGGAGTTGAATTCACCACCCTGAGATTAAGAGTCGCGTGTTTACCAACTGAGCCAGCCAGGCGTCCCGCTGTTATTATTATTATTTTTTAATGAGTAAGCACTAAAATCTTTAAAAAGAAGGAAGGCCATCCATATGACCTTGACATATGACCACCAAGTGGTCTGTGTAGCCTTTGACAAGTCCCTTCCCCCGAGTATAGTTACCTCTTTGACTCAATGGAGATGGGGCAAATATTCCCAAAGGCCTGACAACCAATGGCTTTTCCTGGCTAACTTTCAAAACTGACTTGTATTTATTGGTACTCTAAACGAAATACATGTTTATCCATACACACACACTGCCCTCCCACCTTCTACAACAGAAGGAAGCTCCGCAGGAAGGAACTTTTTTTTTTTCCCTGCTTTGTTCCTTGCCATTTCCCCACCGCCTCAGTGGGCACTGGGCATGCAGGTGAGCGTAGCAGGTCTGGTCTCTGCTCTCTCAGACTTCAAAGCTACAGAGAGGTGGACCCACCCACGTAAAGACACAAAAGTCAAAGCAGAATAAATACCATTCTTCAGACTGTGGAGTCAGGTGGGGGTTGGGTCCTAGCCTTAGCTCCCACCTTCTTGCTGTGCGATCAGGGTTAGCAATGGCCCCTCCCCAAACTTCTACTTACCCACCCATGAAATCGGTATGATTACCGAACTTACCCAATAGAAATATGGGCAAAGGGTGTGAACAGGCAACTCATAGAATTAAAAGTGGTCCAACAAACATAGAAAAGTATGTGGTGCCTCAAGGAAACAGGGAGGGAGACATGCTAATTAAAACAGAACACAGTTTTCCCTCGGAAGATTGGCAAAAATATTCGGTGAACAGGTGGAAAAATGGGCATCTCAGAAATTGCTGTTGGAAATGTCAATTGAGGGCACGCTTAGTGGAAGGAAGTGTGGCAATGTCAATTAAAAGTTTTTAAATGAGCATACTATAATGACCAAGCAATTCTATTTCTAGGAGTGGGGCCTCTGGAAATACACACATATATGCACAGAGGTAGGTACAAGGACATTGCTGCAGCGAAGTTCCTAACAGCACAAGAACTGGCAGAGCTGACAATCCCACAGTGACCTCTTATGCAGCTATTGATAATACAGTGATGGGGGCACCTGGCTGGCTCAATCGGTAGAGCATGCGACTCTTGATCTCGGGCTGTGAGTTCAGGCCCCAGTTGGGCGTAGAGATTACTTAAAAATAAAATCTTTAAAAAATAATAATACAGTGACAGGAAAACATGCCACCTAAATTTAGATGAAATGGACAAATTCCTAGAAGAATACAACTTAATGAAACAGACACAGGAAGAAATAGAAAAGCTAAAGAGTACCATAACCATCAAAGAAGTCCTTTTTTTTTTTTTTTAAGAGCCAGAGAACAGGAGCGGGGATGGGGGGAGAGGGGCAGAGGGAGAGAATCTTAAGCAGGCTCCATGCCCAGTGTGGAGCCCAACACGGAGCTCAATTCCACAACACTGAGATTATGACCTGTGCTGAAATCAACAGTCGGATGCTTAACCAACTAAGCCACCAAGACACCCCTAAAAAAATCAATTCTTAATTGAAATCCTTCCCATAAAGAAATCTCTGGACACAGATGACTTAAGACCACCAAAAAAAAAAAAAAACCAGTGATAAACAAGGCAAATATAAAGCTCAATTTATATATGTATATATATGTAAATATATATAGTATAACTACATGTATATAATAGTTATGTATTTGTATAGTTACTTAGATTAATATACGTATGCAAATGCATAAAGGAAAACAGGCAAGGATACACATCAAACTGATTATGATAACTTCTGAGAGAAGGGATTTGGGGTTGTCCCTTTACCTATATTTTTATGAAACAATGTTCATGCCCAAACACAACTCAATCAGAGGTCAGATTCCTTGTAGTAAAACAGCTGATGATAGGAAAACTAGGTGGAGACCCACCCTGAGATCTGCCATCTGGTTCTGGAAATTACTATATTCAAAGCAAACAGTAGTCGCTCACTAAATGTTAGTCCAAAAGAAAATCATGTCTCCCATTTTACCACAGAAGAAGAGTCCACCACATATGTAACATTGTGCATTTATTTACAAAGAGGTTAGAGAAACACACAGTCTGGCCCCCCTGTGCACTGGGGAGTCACCATCGTCATAATAAATACAGTAATTTTAAAAAAGAAAAAATACTGGATTGGAACAGTTGAGGGTCTTCCTGGGCTCCCTGAACTCCCTCAGCTGGGGAGCAAGGGGGCACGAGATAGAAGCCATCTTCCTTCCCCTCTTCTACCTCCTAATCCGCCATAATTGTCCAGGGATAGAGGTGAAAGAGTGTTTCTTTCCAGGTGTTACCACCTCCTACTTGACCCTCAAAACCCCAGAGTCAGTGCTCCTTCCTTTCCCAGGGCACTCTGCAAGCACCACCTGGGTCAGACACAGAATCTCTGACCATGGTGCCAAGGGGATATCCTAAGAATCCAGGGACATGGACGGGGGCACTTTGTGAATGGGGGGTGGGGAAGGACACCGTATCTGGGCATGGAAAGGAGGAGTAAGAGGGTTCAGTGACAGAAGTGAACGGGAACAAACGGACTAAGTGTCTAAACTAAAATGGGGAAATTCAAACTGAATTACCCCTTCTGCATACCATAGTACACCCATAGTACAGATGAGGAAAGTGAGGCCCAGACAAAGGGAACTTTCTTGCCCATAGGCTGCAGAGCCAGCAGCTGAACTGGGTCAAACAGGGCTCCTCCCCCATTCCTCCCTATGGTGGAGGGGGAGCCTTTTCAACCAAGACTTGCAGTGGATGGGGGGCAGTGAGGAAGGGTCTTTGGAAGCAGAGAAAATGGTGGTCTTTGGAAGGGAGGTATGGAAGGGTCGGTGACTGGGAGTGTGGCGGTGCAGAGGCCATGAAGGGGGAGCCCGAGCAAACTCCCAAACTCACACGGTAGTCATGACCTTGAGAGAACCCGAACGGAAACGCAGTATCTTTTTCTTGAGTGCGTGGGAAGCCTTGATCTTCACAAAGACTTTGGCGGGGCCCGCGGGCGCCCCTCCACCTGCACCACCCGCTGCCCCAGAGGCTGCGGTGGCCGCCACCAGCTGCTGCGGCCACACCAGGCCACCGCTGCCGTCTGAGTCGCTGGATGCGGAGCTGAAGGCCGGCGACTCCCCCTCGCTGGCGCTCGACTCACTCTCCCCATAGCCGCCGCCCACGCCGCCTGCGGGCCCCCGGCGTCCAAGGGGCCCCAGGCGCCCGGCCGAGCACTCCGAGTCGCTGCCCGCGCAGCCGTAGAGAAGACGGCGCTGAGGAGCCGACGGCGACGGGCCGGGCCCGGGGCCGCGGGCCGCCGGGGCTCGGGGGCGGCCGCGGCGCCCGTCCGCCGCGTCGATCTCGGCCGTGGAGCGCCAGCGGCGGCAGGACCCCGCGGCCTGCGCCGCGAGCGTGGGCGCGGGGCCGCGGCGGGGCCTCGGCGGCCGAGGCTCTTCCCGTTCAGCCGTGGGGTACTTGGGGGGCCCCGGAGGAACGGCGGCCGCGCGGCCCAACAGACTGGTCTCGGACTGGGAGCGCGCGGCCTTGCGAGCCCTGGGCGAGCCCCGGCGGCCCGAGGCCTCCGCCATGCGTCCGCGGCGGCCGGCGGCCCGGGGACGCTCCCGGGGCGGGGACTGCTCCACGCTGCGGCCGCGGGTCAGTGGTGGCGCTTTGCGGCGCGCCGCGCGGCCGGGGAGGCCGCGGGTGGCGGCCTGCGCGCCCGGGATGTACTGTGCCTTCACCAGGCGACCCTCGGCCGGGCTGTCGGGGGGCGAGGGAGCGGCGGGCGGCGCGGCGGGCTCGGGCGCCGGCTCCGGCTCCCACGGCGGGGCCCAGGCGCGGCCTAAGGCGGCCGGGCTGGCGGGACGGCCCCCCGCGCGCTCCACCGGGGGCTCGGGCGCGGGCCGCGCGCCTCCGGGGGGCGGGGACACGTCGGGCGGCCTCTGGCGCACGCTGTTCTGGCGCCGCGGGCCGCCGTCCGCGCCCCCGGGACTGGTCCGGGGCTGGCCCGCCCCCCGGCGGCGGCGCCTGCGCAGGAGCGCCGAGATGTAGCCGTCCAGGGGCCGCCCCGCACCCGAGGCGTCCGGCGAGTCCGCGGGAGGCCGGCCGCAGGGCCGCGGGCTGCGCAGCGCCACGGCGTGCAGGGGGCTGGGCGTCAGGAAGGGCCCGGCGCGGGCCCGCCGCTCGGCGGAGGAGCAGGCCTCCGGGCCCGCAGGGCCCGCTGCCGTCGGGTAGGGCGCCGAGTAGGATCGCGGCACGGCTGCCCGAGCGCTCACCGCCTCTGGAGCGCTGGGACTGGCGTCTCCTACGGAGGGAGGCAAAAAAAAAAAAAAAAAAAGGAAGAGAGTGGAGGGACCCTCGAAGCCCTTGCTCAGTGAGTCTAGGTGGGGCAAGTTGCCTACCCCGTCCTCTTCCGCTGTCATCAAAAACCCTTCCCCTCATACCGGGTTCATAACAAAATCTTCACAAGACCCTGAATCTTCACTGCCCTGCCTCTGCCTCTCCGACCTCCATCTCTGACCCCTCTCTTCTATAATTCTAGGTCTCCAGCTCCACTGACCTCCTGGAAGCACACGCCAGTCACGTTCCAGCCCCAGGGCCTTTGCACTTGCTGTTCGCGCTACCTGGAACACGCTTCCCTGAGGATATCTGCTTGGCCCACTCCCTCACTTACCGTAGGGCGCCACACAAATGTCAGAGTCTCAGTGACACCCTCCCTAGCCATGTCTCCTAAAATTGCAACTTCCTCCCCAACTCAAAAGGGCAGGCCCTCCCTAGCCCCCTTCCCTTTCTTCTCATCCTATATGTCTATATCTTAGTTATCTCGTATATTATCTGTTTCTCCCACTGGAAAGTCAGCTTTATGAGGACAGGGATTTTTTTTTTTTTTCACTGTCGTATCCCTCACCACTGAAACAGAGCTAAGCTGGCACATAGCAGGGGCTCAGAGACTTACTTGCATAAATGAACAACAGCAGTTGCTGTTTACGAGTGGCTACCAAGTACCAAGTCCAATGGCAGTTAGGGCTGAGGCTCACTGAATATGCGAAACTTCCCTATGAGGTAGGTGCTGTTATTAATCCCATTTTAACAGATAGAGAAACAGAGGCCCAGAAAGAAGCAACATGCTCAAAATCACATGAGGAGGGAGGGTCACAGCTAGAATTTGAATCCAGGTCAGTCTGACTCAGAAGCTTGTGCTCAAAACCATTCTCTTACTGCCCATTCCCTGGTTCTCGGGGCCCCAACCCCACCCACCTTACCTAGGGACTTGGGCCTCTCGCTGGCATAGATGCCCCGGGGTTCAGAGGGACCCAGGCGTCCATAGGAGCCAGATCCAGAGAAGCCACTGTCCCCACAGAAGGTAGAGGGTGGTGAGTCTGGACCTCCTGTGGAGCTGGGGTCTTCATAGAAGCCTGGATTCCAGGGAGAGGAGGAGAGACAATCAGGGGCCTGGATGGGGAAACCAGGGGTGGGGAGAGGAGAGACCAAGAGGCAGAGACAGGGAAACCTTCGAGGTAGGGGGCAGTAGGAAAGATAGGGGTGTTTCATGCTCCCTCCAAGCATACTCACCTGAGCTGCGCCCGCTCTCCTGTTCCAGACCCCCAGACTCCAGGCTCAGGTCTCCCAGTTGCTGGCCCAGGTCCCAGATGAGCCCAGGCAAGGCCTCCTGAGGGCATGAGGAGAGCAGGATAGTCAGAATGTCCCCAATCCTCTTCCACCTGGTCCCCCCAACTCCCCCCCCTCACGCTCCCCTCCCCTCGCCAATGGGCAGAGTTTCACTTTGACAATGAGGCTCTGATATCAAAAGTATAAAAGCAGTACCCAAGTCCCAGGATCCCCCTCAAGATCTCTGTCCCTTCATCCCATTAGAAGTCTTGCTGATTGTCTAACTCGAGTCCTTCATGCTACAGCTACATCATCCTTTCTTAGGTGGGATAAGCTTCCGAAGAACCCATCCCTTGCCCCCTCTCTGTCAAGTGTTCCCTCCACTTGTGCTCATAGTCCCTTAACCCCTATTAGAACGTCCCTCTTGGAGTCTCCGTTCAGATGGTCTCGCTGTAAGGGCAGTTCGCTGCTAAAAGTTGGTATCCAGGACTTAGCAGATCCCTTATCCATTGGTCTGCCTCCTCCCAGTCCTTGACCTTCTCTTCTCAGATGCTCCCATCTCCCCCCCCCGCCCCTTATCGTCAGCAGAAAGCCCTTTTGCAAGTCTTCCTTAAGTCCTTCCTGCTGCAGACCGATTCTTTCCCTCATATGGATAAAACAGGCTGACCACGACTCATATAAGCCTTTGCTCCTTCCCTCAGGAAGAACCCCCCCCACCCAAAATGCCTACTGGAAAGTCCTTCTGTGAGTCTAGCCTGTAGTGGTATTACAGTAGCAAGCCCCAGCAGGTTCCCTTGCCCCAGGGAACCACATCTTCCTCCTGCCCTTGCTTCCTTCCCACCCAGAAGCCTCCAGTGTCTGCCCACTGCGCCTCATCCCCATGAGAAAGTTCGGTTGAGTCTATCCTGGATCCTTCTTGCTGCAGGAAATGACCATTTCTTATCAGGTGCGAATAAATGAAGGTGAAAACCCTTTTAGGGGAGCGGCAGTGACCAGGGACGGGGCTAGGGGCTAACACAACACAGATGGGGCCTCCGAGACACTAGGACCTAACCCCATTTTGGAAAAACAGGGCCAGATCCAGGAAGAGTCTCACATGGGTCTGGGTGAGGCTAGAGGTGGCAGCCGCCGAGGGCTGACGGTTGACCCTCAGACAAAAGCAGCTTGTCTGGACGGCGGGAGGGAGGGAAGGAGGGGGGAGGAGCCGGGAGGCCAGGCGCCCAGCCCTGCCTATTTAGGGCAGAAAGACTGGCCGGCTCCCCCGTAGTCCCCTCCCCTCCCCCAGCTTCCTACTCCTGTGGCTGCTCTCCTGGGCCCCCGTCCTCACCCCTCCCCCGCCCCCCCAGAACAGAAGCCCCCATCTGGGCTTGTTTATGGGAGGAAAGTCAACAAATCATTCCATGTTGGGCTCCTGCCCTGGGTGTGCAGAGATGCTCAGGGTGGCGTCATCTTGGAGCAGAACCCAGGAAAGCAGCCGAATTGTGCAGCATCAGGGGTGGCTAAAAAAAATGTCGCAGACCAGCCATGTACCCCATGTCATGTCCCCCACTAATCACCCCCTCGCTCACTCTGCTCTAGCCCCGCTCCCTGGACGTGCCATGCTGTGTGGTGCTCCTACCTCAGTAAGGACGTGTTCCCCCTGCATTTCTTCCTGGCTCCCTCCCTGGCTTCATTCAGATCTTTGCTTACATGATCCCTCCTCTGACCGGTCTTTCCAAAATAGCTCCCCTGTCATTTTGCACCCGTTGACCTGCTTTTTTTTCCCTTCCCTGCAACATAGCAGTAATGACCTCCTGGCTCAAAAGGATGCATCAGGTTGTCCTTGGGTTATTGTCCGTCTTGCTAAATGTCATCCCTGGAAGGCAGAGATTTTTTTGTCTGCTTTGTTCATTTCAGCTTCCTTCCCCACCCCCCAGTGCATAGCACAGTGCCCAGCACAAAGCAGGTGCTCAGGAAATGTCTGATGAAAATGAATGTCTATGGCAGAATACTATGCAGCTGTCAAAACGGAAGGAGGCCATTTCTACACAGAATCATCACTAAGAGGGGGTGCCTGGGTGGCTCAGTGGGTTAAGCGTCTGCCTTCAGCTCAGATCACGATCACTTGTCCTGGGATCGAGCCCCGCGTGGGGCTCCCTGCTCAGCGGGGAGTCTACTTCTCCCTCTACCCCTCACCCTGCTCTCTCTTGCTCGCTCTCTCTCTCAAATGAATAAAATCTTAAAAAAAAGAAAAAAAAAGAATCATCAATAAGATACAGCATTGAGCAGAAAAAGAAAAGTGCAGAGTATGAGCCAGAGTCAGATTTACCTGAAGGGCCTGGGTCCCACCTCCAGAGCTTCTGATTCCAGTCTGGAGCCCAAGAATCTGCATAGCTTACAAGTTCCGCGGTATGCTGCTTAGTCCAGCGGCCACACTTTGAGAACCACTGGCATTATCTCTGGGACCTCAACCAAGAGACGGGAATTTGCAAGAAGCAAAACAAAACCCTACGTTTCTTGGCATGTAAGCTCGTCCTACAAGTAGATGCATTGGTAAGAGGTCTGGAGGGACTCACGCCAAGGTGACAGTGGTGGTGATCTCAGAGGAGATCCTGTGTGATCTTTAGCAGGTTACTCCCCCTCCCTGGGCCCTGGTTTCCTGTCTGTAACATGGCGTCATTCAACTCCCTCCCTCACAGGGTGTTGTGAGGATTATATGACTTAAAACAGCAGTTCCCTTTAAGCTCTTAATAATTGCTAGCTTTTATTATTACACGAAAGCTATGAATTTCTTAACAAGGAAAATATAAAGTCATGTTTTACTTGTGTAATTAAAAATAAATATAAAAGGATGGATTCGGGGGGTAGGTTCTGCAGGCCTAATTTCAGTTTTTGCTCTGTAGGGAAGAGGAGGACTTAGGGGGACAGAGAGGCAAGGGCTCCTCTTCCCCCATGCCTGGGCCCTCCAACACCACCCCAAGTCTACACGCTCCCATTGTTTGTAAGTTTGACCCCCTCCCTTCCAGGAGCAAAGCGATGGGTGCCTGGGTGGCTCAGTCATTAAGCATCTGCCTTCGACTCAGGTCATGATCCTGTATTGGGTCCTGGGATGGAGCCCCGCATCAGGTCCTGCATCGGGTCCCAGGTCCGGCTCCTTGCTCAGTCGGGAGCCTGCTTCTCCCTCTCCCACCCCCCCTGCTTGTGTTCCCTCTCTCTCTCTTTCTCTGTCAAATAAATAAATAAATAAATAAATAAATAAATAAATAAATAAATAAATAAAATAAAATCTCTATTAAAAAAAAAAGACCAGAAGGACCTTGGTCTGAATCCTGCTCCCTATGTACCCACAATGCCCCTCAGTCCCCCCACCCCCTTTTTTTTGCAAGCCCTTCTGCCGGCCGTCTGTGGCCGTCCAGTTCAAGCAGGGTTTTTGTTTGTTTGTTTGTTTGTTTGTTTTCAAGCAGGTTTAACACGCGTGTGATTAAGACCCCTGGAGACCCCTTGGCCCAAACTTTTCCAGACCTTTGTTCCCCGCTGCTCACATGCCCCTAGTCTGTATCCAGTTCCCTTTATCGCTATTTGGAAGTCCTTTTGCAAGTCTAACTTAAGTCCTTCTTGCTGGAAGGGGACCCTTTTTCTTGGTGGGAGAGAACAGAACTCCTACCCCCATCCAGGATTCTCACCTCTTTTCTCTGAGATGTCCCTGGTCTTTACCTGCGTCCCCACTACTCCTATTAGGAACGAATCAAGTCCAGCTCCAAAGGGAGTGTATTCCTTGGTAGGGGGGTGCGGGGCGGGAGGGGTTAGCATCATAAGAGAGAGGCTCAGCGATCAGAGGAGGGACCCACACCCTCTTCAGAAGGACCCAGGAACCCCCAACCGCAGAGGAGTTTATATTTAGCGCTTCTCTGTTCCTCCCCTCCCGCCGCTGCCTTCCTCCCGCTGCCTGCCACCGCCTCCTCCCTGACGCTGGGACGGAGCTTTGCCTGGAGAGTGTGGGGGGGATGAGGCCTCTCCACTACCACCTCCTGGGGGGCGGGGTAGACAGAGGGGCAGAGAAGGGGGGAGACTCAGCGGCAGGGATAGGGAAGCTGAAGGGCAGAGAGGGGAGACTGAGGCAGACAGAGGGACTGAGGGACAGGAAGGAAGGACACAGCTCGCCCATCCCCATGCTCTCTCCCTCTCCTCGTACGTGGGGTGGGAGGTGCCTTCCCTAGCCCAGCCAGCTTGGGGTGGGGGGTGAGCTGGTGAAGGCCCCCACAACGCGTCTCTAACTTTGGGAGGGGGTGGGGCCTCCCACAGCTGTTTCTGTTTCCAGAGAAGAATGTGCAGGGTCCCACTCCCGGTCGGGGGAGGGGCTGTGCGTGCAGCCCCGGAGTCTGGCGTCAATCCTCCTCCCCATTCCCCATCTGGGGAGGGGGCAGTGGAGGTCAGCAGCAGGGAGAGCCCCCTCCCCCGCCGCCATGGCTCAGGTTTCCCCAAACGGGAAGCTCTGACCACACACAGGCTTGGGGATGGGATCTGCAAGGGAAGCCAGGGTCTGGAGCCTGGCAGGCTGGGGGGAGGGGAAAAGAGAGATAGGGACAGGGACGTGGGGCGGGAAGAGAGAGAGGTGCAGAAAGGCAAGAGAAGGCCAGGGAGACGGAGATAGAGAGACACAGAGAGAGGGAGGATTAAGAAAGACAGAAACAGACGCCGAAAGTCAGAGATGTGGCAATAGGGAGATAGAGTGAGAGAAATTCAGGAAGAGGAGAATCAAAGAATGACAGAGAAGGAGAGAGGGGTGGTGCTCTTGAAGTCATTCTGGAGACCTCTGCATCATTTTCTACCATCAGAGCACTCAGGGAGTTCAGAAGGCAGGCCCCCATGCTGCCTCGACCTGCCTCTTCTGGGGTCCACCAAGGCTGGGACCAGCTAGGAAAGGAGGGAAAGTGTCACGGCAGCGTAAAGATCACCGCGGGGTCCTCAAGGACAGCAAGCTTCCTCTCAGCAGTGATCCCTCCCTCAGGAGGCCTGAGGATCCCCTCCCCCCACCCCGCCCCCTCCAGAGATCTCCAAGCACACCGGGACTTAGGGAAGATGGAGCCCTGGTGGCGGGGCCGGGGGTGGGGGGTGGTGGCATGTTTGGATCCCGGCTGTGTGACCTTGGGTGAGTCACTTGCCATCTCTGAGCCTCAGCTTCTTGCTCTGTAAAATGGGGACTATCACCCCCTTCTCCCCGCAAGCTGCAAGAAGACAACGCATGCCAAATACTCGGCCCAGGCTTGACACATACTTGGCGCCCAGAAGAATCTTCTTTGGGGAAGGGGCCTGTGCATTTCACGAGGCTCCAGCGGAAGCGATGCGGTTCCCCTTCCCCAGTTTGGGGGTGAGCAGACCAGATCCCGCCCGCCGCCCATACTCCTGGGTCTCCAGCCCCACCCCCTGTCCATTCCCCCTCCCCCACCGGAACGGGTGTCTGAGCATCCAACCGAGACAGACAGACAGACAGACACAGACGGGGGCGGAGGGATGGACGGACAGGCGGCCCCTCACCAGCTGCTCCTCCAGGGCCGCTGCGGCCCGGCGCGCCGCCGCGGCATCTTCGTCCTCATCGGCGTCCTCCTCGTCCTCGGCCTCGGCGCCCCCCATTCCGGGCTGGGCCAGCCGCAGCGCCTGCTGCACGCGGTACTCCTGTCTCTCCCGGAGCCAGTGCAACTCGCAGAGCCCGGCCAGGCTGCCCTCCAGCCAGCCCCGCAGCCGGCCCCGCTCGGGGCTCACCGGGAACGAGAAGGCCCGGATCATGGCTGCGGCCCCCCACCCCAGCCCGGCCGGGCCCCACGGCCACCCCTCTCCGGGTCCCACCTCCCCGCCCCAACAGCCCGCCTGCCCGCCCGCCCGCTGGCCCGGCTGTCACCGTCTCATCTGCATAGGCGCCCGCCCATTGGGCCGCCCACCCGCGCCTTATCTGCATGGCCACGCCCCCGGCGACAGAGCAACCGTCGCCTATTGGCTGGAACCCTCCCTTACGAAGATGCCCGGCGGTGCACCCGCGCCCCCCCAACGCGACGCATGCTCGCAGCTTCCTACTCTCTTTGCTTCTGGGCGGCCTCGCCACGCCCCACCGCTTGCCTGCCTTTGGGCCCTAGTCACGCCCCCTCTCGCGTCACAATGAAACAAGTCCGCCCTTGCTCCAATGTCATTGGTCCGTGCCTCCCCGGTCCGCAGCTGGTTCCGCCCACTTGCGGGCGAGCTCTGGCTACCATTGGACTGTCCCAGGCGAAAGGGGAAGGGTGATCTATAAATAGAGAATGGGTCCACGTGACAGTTTGGCAACCGTTCCTCTCCCCCCACCCCTAGCAACCCTGAGCGGCTGAGGCTGTGCAGGGGGCGGAAAGGGTTATCGAGTCGAGCCCTGATTTTGCCTCCTCTTCCACGAAGCCTTCCCAGACACTCAGCTGTAAAACTAGAGGCCAGCTAAGACCGACATCCTTCCATAAAATAATGCTTCTAAGAGGGACCGGCTTCACGGACGTGTGACCAGCTTAGGAGGGCCCTGCACTTGGTTTAGTATTGGCTGTTCTTGTCTTGGAAATTCTTAATTTTTGAACAAGGGGTCTCGCATTTTCGTTTTGCCCCAGGCTTCACAAATTATGTAGCCAGTCTTGCTTCTAAGAGTCAGATTGGTTGTATCCCAAATTCTGGAATTGTAAGACCAGCCTGGGTGGAAGATTCTGTGATTCGACCAGAACAGAATCTAAGCGTCTTTTGTCTCCCAGATCGTGTGGGGCATTGCGTTCACCGTTCTACGATTCCAGGAGCCTTTGTTCGACGTTCTAAGAGGCTTTGTTCTCAGCATTCTAAGATGCTCTGTTCTCAACGTTCTGTGGTCCTAAGAGTCTGAGCCTGACTTTGGTTTCCAAGGTTCCCTTCTGGCTCCCCAGGCTCCGCGAGCCGGGCTGGCGCCCCCTCAGGCGGCCAGCCTGGGTCACTACGCCGAGTGTGTGTCCCTACAACCTTGGAGATCTAGCTCCAAGATTCGTACCCATTTCTCAGACAGACCTTGACTCCCTAAAAGCTAGGGCCCAGAAGATCATGTGAGAACTTCCCTCTTTTATGACCCCCTCTTTTATGACACCAGAAGACATCTGGTCGTAAGCTGGAGAGGCAATGATAACCATTGAGAACTAACTCTGGAACCAGAATGCGGGAGGGGGGGCGGAGCCCCAGCCCCTGCCACTTTCTAGCTGTGTGACCTTGGGAAACTTGCTTAACCTCTGTGCCTCAGTGTCCTTATCTGTGTGATGGGGGTCATAATACTGCCTACCTTATCCAGGCATTCTAAAGACTGAGTGAGATAGCTGTCCAGTGCCTTCCATGTATAAAGAGCCACAGAAGGGTGTGATAAATAAGGACAAAATAATCCCAAGGAGAAAAATGAGCCTGGATTTTAATATCGACAAAGTATATTCACTCCCCCTCTTGTTTAAGACAGACCTAGACTTTCCTTAAACAGTCTTAATTTTCCAACAGTGGGGAGATGATCGGGATTCATGATAGGTGGTTCTGGGGAGCTTGCTCTCAAACGAGATTTTCTTAGTAGTTAGTGTCTGGGGTGATGTCAGGGTTGGGCTTTCATCTCTGCTGTTTGTGCAAAGCCAGTTGGACCATTTCTTGCATAAAATGTTGGATCTGGAACGGATTTAGGTTTTGGTCACTGGGCTTTCACGAATGGGTATTCCTAGGAAGAGCAATAAAAAGAGAAATATTAATGGTTGAATAAGGGAGTAACACCAAGATTGGAGGCCCAAGGGCAGCCAATTGCAAGGGTTCCCAGAAGGAGGTACAGAGAGATCCTTAATTGATGGAGTCAGATCAGCGGTCACAATTCTGCGGATTTCCTCGGTGGCCTCTTGATGTTCTTACCGATGATGATCAGGTCTGAGGAGTCCCCAGAAATGAATGTGCAGCAGTAACTTCCAACGAGAGCATACAAGTCCTTCCCTTGGAAGTCCCTAACCTGGTACTAAAGTTGCCCAAACCTGGTTGGAGGCCGTATGAAATCCTCGGAGCTTACTGCTAAGCATTTGACTTCTTGTTCCAAGCCTCCTTTAGATGCTAATGAAAGAAGGGGTCACGGTCATACTGGATCGTGTGTCCGCGTGGTGATTTTCAGCCTTCACAGGATGTGGCAGATCTCTTATGTTTGTGGGGAATTGGGTGGGGCTTTGAGAGAAGAACGAGTGAAGTTTAGACATTGATAGAATGAAGAGGACTCAAAACCCTGAAAAGGACTTACAGGATTGGCAAGATAACAGAAGCCAGTCCAGTTTCTGGTAGGTAGATATCAATCTGCAAAACCTTTATGCATAAAATACACAGCATTAGGGCGCCTGGGTGGCTCAGTTGGTTAAGCGACTGCCTTCGGCTCAGGTCATGATCCTGGAGTCCCGGGATCGAGTCCCGCATCGGGCTCCCTGCTCGGCAGGGAGTCTGCTTCTCCCTCTGACCCTCCTCCCTCTCGTGCTCTCTGTCTCTCATTCTCTCTCTCTCGAATAAATAAATAAAATCTTTAAAAAAAAAAAAAGAAAAAAAAATACACAGCATTGGGGGCAATCCCAAGACTCATGGAAATCATTGTCTTATTTATTTGAGGGGTCAGAAAATAAATGTGGGGTTTGTTGTGTTGGGTTGTTTTGTTGTTGTTGTTGTTGTTGTTTTTTAAAATGTTGATTAAAGGTGAAAAACCAGGGGCACCTGAGTGGCTCAGTTGGTTAAGCGTCTGCCTTCCGCTCAGGTCAGGATCCCGGGGTCCTGGGATTGAGCCCCACATGGGGCTCCCTGCTCAGCGGGGAGTCTGCTTCTCCCTCTCTCTCCCTCTCTGCTGCGCACACACACACACTCTCTCTTAAATAAATAAAGAAAATATTTTTAAGAAAAAAGGTGGAAAACCAAGGAGAAGATGCAGGGACGGGACTGGGACCATGAAATGAGTCACAAGACGGGTGATACCACTGATACCAAGAGAAATTGTGAGCGGCACCAGTTGACTCGGGATCAGCAATATTTTGATAGCTGGAAAATCTGGGTGAGTTCAGTGAGGAGGTGGTTCCTGCCATTAGGGTTGTCACCGTGTCATTTACCACGTAAAAGTTTCCGGAGACTGAGTCCCCTGAAGGGGCCGTTAGGGAAGTTGTGGAAGGAGCACATAAATCCTGACTCATAGATGCTAGGGATAGGGAGAGTTTTGCTGTGACAATCAAGTGGTGAGTTGGGAGGGGTCTTGGAGGGGATGGTGCTCGATCCATCTGCAACCATCCTATTTCCAAATCAGGTCACATTCTGAGATACTGGGGGATAGGATTTTAACATACCTTTTTTTGGAGGGGGTGTGGACACAATTCAACCGATAACAGGCCCAGAAACCCCTGGAGTTGCGTTTTAGTCTTGGGTAAAAGGTGAAATTAACGATGGGATAAATTCATTCCGTGGATAAAGTTAGCCTTCGGGGGCGAAGTCACGTCCTAGATAGTGCACTTTTGCTTTATGTGGCTGTAATCCTTCCCGAGATACCCTGTGTCCCTGTGAGCAAGGGCTTGGGGTAAGTATTGAGTGTCAGAGAGTGAGCTGGGTGAGGGATCAGCCACATTTTGGATTTGAGGCGTCTTGTGAGGGAAAACCACATCCCGCAAATTAGCCTTCAGAGTCCCAGAAAAGTAAGGAGGGGCTTCGGTGAACTCTTAAGGCACACCTGTCCCTGTGTATTGTTGACTTTCCCAGGTGAAAACAAAAAACGTCTGTGAATCAGACGTAGAGGGATATGAAGGAATGTGTAGAGGAGGTGTTAATCCAGTAAAGTGGGGGGTGTTGGAAGGTAGAGAGAGGCCAGGCAGTGTTTGGAGTGGGAACTCGCGGGAACCTAGGTTTGACTATTTTATTTATGGCCTACGGGTCTTGGACTAGCCATATTCCCGTGGTAACACTGGAGTTCTAGACGGACAAGGTGGGAGTGCTTCAGGGTCCGGGAGCCAGGATTGGGAGACCCCGAGTGACTGGTGGAGGCATGTGAAGTCAGTTTCAGGAAGGGCATGAAGGTTCTATTTCCACTTGGAGAGAGGTTCAGCCTCCAAGATGCACCCTATGTTGCTGAGGCCCAAAGAGAATCAGAATGCGGGGCAGCGTGTCTTGAATATGTGGGCTTGAGGGAGAGGTTGATGGGTTTTTTGGGGAGGGGGCAGGGGAGTAGGAGGGGTAGCGGGCTGAGATGGATAGGAGTAGTCCGGGACTTCGAGACATAGGCTCTCTTGTGAACATGAAATCTTGATGTTCCAGATGGAAAGAATATCCCTTCCTGAAAGATTTCTTGGAGTAGTTTGGGTATAAACCGCACTGGGTAGTAAGGGGGCCTAATGAGTCACAGAGGGACTTAGACAAGCCTAAACACGTGGCAAACTGCGGAATTCATCTTAATCATTGCTGTGTACTGATGGAGGGGGAGGGGGAAACTGGGAGATATTTAT